AATCATATTTATAAAATTTTGTCCAAAGTCCATTGTTTTTAGTTGTTGAGTCATAAATTTGCAGGAAACATTATCAAATGCCTTTTGAGCATCTAGAAATACTAATGCCAATTGTTTCCCTGGATGCATTTCATAATATTCCAATGTGTCCATTACAACTCTTAAATTATTTTATATTTGTCTCTTTGGTAGAAATCCATTTTGAACTGGATGTATAAATTCAGTTAGAAATCTTTTCAGTCTCTCCGCTATTATTGAAGTAAAGATTTTATAGTCCACATTTAGTAATGATATCGATCTGTAATTTTTTATCTGTGTCAGGTCTGAGTCCTCTTTTGGTATCAAAGTCAGTGCTTTTTTTCTAAAAAAAAAAAAAAAAAAAAGGTTCCGGAACTCACACACGTCATAAAACCTGCCTTGCCTACCCTATAAGAGTCCATCCAAAAAAGGTGCCGGAACTCCGTTCTGGGCGTTCTATGAGAAAAAAAGCCCTGATCAAAGTAATATTTGCTTCTGTCCATGTGTTTGGGAGTTTAGCCTCGAATAGAAATTCATTACACACATCTTTCAATGGTACACTTAATATATCTTGTAGACATTTGTATAACTCTGCCGGGAGCCCATCTGGTCCCAGTGGGTTTTTTTGTTTGTTTGTTTATCTTCTTATAGCCTCTGTCATTTCCATTATTGTTATTTTCTCATTTAACATAGTTTTAAAGTTTTCTGGAATTTTGGTAAATTATTTCCATATATTGAATCTTTTTCTCGCATTAAATTTCTTCTATATCATACAGTTTCTCATAATATTATCTTTCTTAATAGCAAATGTAAATGCTCTAATAAAGCCAAATAAATAACTATAGCCAGAAGAGGGTCTCTTTGTTCTTAAGCTTGCAGTTATCAGTTCTGCTTACATAACTCTACTTTAGCACAAGTTTGAATCTCTGTGAAATTCCACCAACCCAATAACTCATTTTAATGAACTGGGCTCATGCAATCAGCTAAGCAAACCCACTCTAGGTACAATATAGTTTAGTGCAGGAGTCCGCAGTTTCTCTCAGCCCAGAGGAACCCTACACCAAGGATTTGGGGCTTTTAAGTATGAAATTTTTAAGCTAGAGATTCTTAAACTTTGGTGCTGAGATCCTCTAAAATGACAAATTAATTTCTGTGACATCCTTTGATCCCTCATAAAAGTATATTGATGAAGTCTAAGTGTCCAACCAAAGCATGCTGTCTTTATCAGGAGCTTACCAAAGTGGTGAGTTTGGTGCGCCACACATTATTTCTAGCTCTGAGGATAACTTCCAGGTCTTCATCACTCTTTGCTATCATCCAGCCATCACCTGAGCCGCAGTTTCCTTTTTTGATTACACCAAGAGTCAGATCTGTGTGGATATAGTGCTCCCTGCCTGCTGCTATTAACTACCCAGAGCTGGAAGTGTTGATTTCACACCTTGGCTGCATTGGCACCATCTGTCAACCCCCCCCCCTCCTTTGAGTTTAGCATGCCAGGAAAGCCCAGCCAATATACTTGATTCCCATCCTAAATGCAATCTCTGGAGCAAGTGGGAGCAAGTTGTTCAACATCACCCTCTCCTTTCCATTGTCTCTGCAGCAGAGTCCTGCCTTCGCTTAAAATCAGACCTCCAGAGAAATTGTTTCCTGCTCATTTGTCTTTCAGATATTCTGGTTACTCAGAATTTTTTGATTCTCTCTCAAATTTGCTTACAAATCCCTGGGGTCTTAATTCAGAATTTGAGAGTACTTGCTTTATGTTTGTATAAGATTTAAAACACACGTTCTTAACATTCTAACTTGTGAAAATGTAGCTGAGGGCTACAAAACACCTGGATGATTCACATTCTTCCTGAGGGCTCTAATGCATTCAGTTAAATAAACAGTAAAAACCATTTCAAGTTTTTTTTTTAAATGTTTTGGGAATAAGTCCTTGAATATTCCAGAGAAAATTCTTGATTGTAGATATAAATATATCAATTATTTATCTGCTTATCCCAATTAACAGTATATAAATAGATGGTTTAAAATTCCAATGATCTTATGGGGAAGAGAGGCTCCACCGACAGTAGGGCAGTGTAATCTTTATGAACCCTGGTATCTAGGTTTGGTCCACGACCACATCAGTAATAAATAACATAGAAGCAATAACTGTAGAGCTGAGCAACTGTACGGTCACTTCAGTGTATAAATTGCCATTAATTCAAATCAAGGGTGATGAATTAAATACATTTAATAAGGATAAAATAAATTTTGTTACTGGAGACTTTAACAGTCACAGCAACATCTGGTGGTATCCTAGTGACTACAGAAATGGAGAGCTCTTTTACATGACAACAAATCACCAGCATTATTTAATAGTGGAAGATAGCACAGGGGATATAACCTGGATTTGATATTCATGAGCGTTCGTATAATCCACCAGTGTGTTAAAATAGTTTACCCACCTATTCCAAATTCCCAGCACCAGCCAATTATGTGCCAGGTTACCGCTGTAGTTTAACCTCACAGTAACCCTTTTAGATGTAATTATAACTTTTAAAAAGCCAAACTCACCTAAATTTCAGAGACCATTGGACAGTGCTGTTAATTGATACCTAAACCAAGCTATTATAACAAATTTGTGAAGGCTGTTAAAAAGTGCTCCTGGCTATCAATTCCACGGGGCTGTAAAATCAATTATATCCAAGGCCTTACAGCAGAAACAAAGGACAAATTGCAGAAGTATCTCACTCTTTTTGAGGTTGATCCTAAGGCAGAAGACATAGTGAGTACAGGCCAGCAGTTAATTATTTCTGTAGCTGAAGCTAAGAGAAAAATCTGGATTAAAACAATAGCAGAATTGGGCATGAGTGTAAGTAGCCACAAGGCATGGAGATAGTTGAGTCACCCCTCAACTCACTCTAGAGATTATACCAATGTGACAGCAGACCAAATAGCCAGTCAGCTTCTTAAGAATGGCAATCCAAATCAAAGGCCATCAAAACACAAGATTAAGATCAACGGAACTGAGGAGGATAAAACAACTAATTTATTGAGAGAGATTATAAGGGAGAGTAAGCCACAGAAAGCTGGCTGGCTTGGATGACTTTCTTTTTGAACAGATAAAGCAATTTGGACCAATAGCAAGGCAGTGGCTACTAGAAATGTTTAATGAATGCTTGGAGCAATGTAAGATTCCTGGTGGTTTGACGAAAGGCTAAAGTTCTAGCAGTTTAAAAAAAAGGTAAACTGGCCAATAATCCTAAGAACTACTGTCCAATTTCACTCTTGTGCCATACCTACAAAATCTTTGAAAGAATGATATAAAATCGCCTCACTGTAGATATAGAATAGGGGTCTTCAAACTTGGCCCTTTTGTGACTTGTCACAAAAGGGCCAAGTTTGAAGACCCTGATGTAGAACCTCTTCTCATACCACAACAAACTGGATTTTGCCTCCCAAAAAGTTGCACCGCATAGATCCAGTACATCAAAGAAGGATTCCAAAAGGGCAATGTAATAAGAACTGTATTCATAGATCTCATGGCTGCATATGATACTATCAGTTTTAGGAGACTGAAGCAGATATTATGAAAGACTTTAAACTTATAAATATCATCAGGAATCTGCTTCAGAACCTTGTGTTTTTGGTGGAGTTTCAGGGAAGGGGAAGTAGATGGAGGAACCAAAGGAACTGCTTACTACAGGGTAATGTATTGACTCCAACTCTTTAATGTTTACACCAGTGATCAGCCATTCCCTGAAGGTACCAACAACTATACCTATGCTGACAATCGAGCAATGGCTATACTGGGAAAAACATTTGAGAAGGTTGAACAGTGTTTAACTGAAGCCGTGGTGGAGCTGGATTGATTCTATTGTGATAATCAATTAAGGCCAAATCCAGCAAAAACTCAGGGATGGGCTTTCCATTTTCACAATAGGCAAGCTGCTAGTAAGCTGCACATTATATAGAAAGGGGCATTATTGGAGCATTGCTACAGACCTAAATATTTAGGGGTCATTCTAGATAAGCCCTAACCTATAAGCAGCACTAAAATGAAGGTCAGTGGATGAAATAACATCCTTAGGAAATTTATGAGCTCTACCTTGGTGCCAAACCAAGAATCCCTAAGAGGACAGCTTTAGCTCTTTGCTACTCATCAGGTGAATATGCCTGCCTGGTCTAGTATGAATCAGCACATGCTGGTTTATGTTGTTCTGAATGAAGCTAGCAAAATTATTACCAGATGCCTTAAAATGGCTACCATCTAACCATCATTGCCTTGCCTATTGTTTGTAGAAAAGCAGCAGTATACAGAGAGGCTCAAACCATGAGTATCTAGACAACACCCTCTCTGTGGCCTTCAACCAGTTCAGCAGAGATTAAAATCTAGGTAAAGTTACCTTAGGTCCATGGAAGACTTTGAAGAATTTAAAAGCAGAGAGGATCTATGGAAAACTACAAAGAACCAACACTGGGTGGAACCAGTGGAGGAACTGGCACCTGGGTCTGGTGAAAGTTGGGAAGTATGAAAATTGTTGAATAAATTGAGCATGGCTACAATAAGACCCAGAGGCACATTGAACAAATGGGGCTATCCAGTGGCCTCTGCCCTTTGCAATTGCAGTGACATGTAGATGACAACAACACATATGTATACCTGTCCTTTGTGTCCTGATCAGTGCACATTTGGGGACCTCATGGCAGCATGACAAAACACAATGAATTTTGCTAGTCTCTGGGCAAGATCTGTTTAACTTGTACATATTTTAATCTTGTATTTTATGTTGTATGTTGTGTACTATGCCTTATTTTAATTATGATGCTTATAACACAAATAAGGAAACAAATGGGGAAGGATAAATGTTGTAAAAATAAATATTCTTTCAAGATTGTTAAATACTACGGGTATTTGACAGTATCCCATATTAATTTCCTTGTTTCTGTTCTCTTGGCTGACTTCACTAGTTGTCTCTTTTTTTTATGTTTCCTCCTAGGAATCAGTGATGATTGTTGTCTTTGGTTTGGAATTTATCATACGCATCTGGTCTGCTGGCTGCTGTTGTAGATACCGTGGATGGCAAGGAAGATTGCGATTTGCAAGGAAACCTTTCTGTGTAATAGGTGAGTTGTTCAGGTATGAATAATTTCATCTGAAAAACAGTACCGTTATAGAAAAAGAGCCAGTTTGGTGTAGTGGTTAATCCATCAGAGTAGAAATTGTGAAACCATGAGTTCTACTCCCAGCTTAGGCACAAAGCCAGCTGAATGACCCGAGTCACTCTCTCTCAGCCCTAGAAAGAAGACAAGGGCAAACCACTTCTGAAAATCTTACTAAGAAAACTGCAGAGGCTAATCCAGACAATTTAAAGGAGTCAAGACTGTCTCAAAGGCATCAAAATATAAGTTACTGAAACACAGAATTTTCTTTGCTATTATTATGAATCGAATTATAGTTTACATTTGGCTGATTCCATTTTGAGAAAAAGATTTTGCTAGTGGTATTGCCAAGAGACTGAGGAACTTTTCCTTACAATATAAGGAAGTTCATACCTAATCCATATTTTTCCTGCCTAAGTTATTAACTAATTAACTAATTATCATAGGAAAAATAACCTACTATAAAGAATGAGCTGAAATTAATTCATATATAAATAAAATTAAAAGATTTCATATTACCAGGAAATCATTTAATTGAAAATGGAGCATAACAGAATTTGGTACTGCCAAGAACATAGAGTGAAACTTATCTACCAGAAATAGTCCACAAAGTCCACAAAAAGGTGCAATATATCTATTTCTAATACTTCTGTAAAAAAAGGCAATAAAAGGATTCCATTGCATGTGGCATGTATGGGAGTAATAAACTGTTATAAGCAGTGCTTTTTTTGTAAAAAAAAAAAAAAAAAAAAAAGTGCCGGAACTCACACATGTCATACAACCCGCCTTACCTACCCTACAAGGTTCCATCCAAAAAAGGTGCCGGAACTCCGTTCTGGATATTCTATGACAAAAAGAGCCCTGATTATAAGGGATTCTTTTAATTTTCCTTCCCATACATCTCATATTTTATTTCTAAATTTGATGAAGTTTTGAAACTTCACCTCTGGTTGATATTTTCCTAGATGAACTTAATTGCTAAAAAAACACTAGGGATCTAGAGTTTTCCTTATACTGTATATTAATCTTTGGTTCATTTTTTTGCCCTATTTGAATTATGAATTGTTTAATCAATTCTCCTCAGTGTGATTGCTGTCAAGGAATATATATATAATCACAATTATATATTAGAATTATCATAATTAACCCTTAATTTACAGGAATTTATGCTAGTGAAAAAGTATACAGTAGTATTATTTATTATATGACCCTCTCATCTTTCTTCAGAAGTTCAGGGTGGCATATACTTGGAACTCCCTCTTCTGTTTCCCCTTAACTACCCCTAGAAAATAGGTTGAGTTAAAAGAAAGTAATTAGTGCCAAGGTTTCTAATGAGCTTACATGACTCACATTGGATTTAAAACTGGTCTTTGCAGTGGAAAACTACAAAGTCTTTATAATCACTTACTCCTACCCCACAATGGTTGTACTTTAATGTGGTATTAAAATGGATAAATAGAAGATGGTTAAGGAACCAGATATGTCCTCATTTTTTTCCATATATAAATTTATAAAAGAAATTGGAAATATGAATCAGTTGCCTTTCTTGGAAAAAACTAAAAGGAGAGAACTCACAAGAAAAGAACGGCACCCTTTTAGCTACTGGTCAATGTCCAGCTCCACTGTTTCTGAAATAAAAATCCTATAAATACCACTATGAAATGGAAGAGGCTATCTCCTACTTCACTATCAAGTGATATATAATAATTTGATTGTTGTGAGCTGCCCAGAATCGTTGAGAGTTGGGCAGCATACAGGTTTACTATTGTATCTTGGCATCTTCCCTCCATGTATAAATTTATCCAGCATACATATCCATTTCTTATTGTGACCCTAGATGGTAATAGAAAAAGAAAAAAAATCTAGGCCATGACATCACTTTTATAGTACCCAATCTTGATAATAAAGTAATACATGGTGCTTTTCATTATTGTAATATCTCCATTAGTCATTTAATTGTTGGATTTCCATTCTATGGATGAAGTATTTTATATCGTTAGTCATTTGAATTTCCAAGTAGTTAACACTTGAAAACTGTAATGCAAAGCCAGATAATTTGTGCATAGTTAATGGAGCAGCTAGAACAGTACAAAGGAATGAGGTCCGATTTTCCACAATTTATTTTTAGCTCTGTAAACTTTCAAAAAGAGGGTGGAAACCCTAATCTTTCAAATCTATTGCATTCTTTAAGAAGATTAGATAAAAATATATCAATCACAGATTATTAGTGTGGATTTTATGATCAATTGCTGTTCTTTTAATCTGGATTCTTTCTGAATATCCTAGATAATGGCTATAATGAGATTGCAACAACATTGGAAAAGAGTAGACAGTCATGATATGTCACTCTTTTATATCATCACATTTAGCATTATAATTATTAATGTGGGATAATGCTTCTGCTACTGGTAAATTAATACCTTAAAACCACCCGCAAAATATGATCTTGTTAATAGTTTGATTAGACATAACCAATTAAAAATCTTCATTGAACCTAGCAAAATAGTTGTTGAGAAGCTTTTCATGTTAAATACTGTACTGAGTATTAATTAGGAATGAAGCACATTTAATCAAATGAAATCAGGCCACTTACGGAGGGATACTTTTCTGAATCATTAACTAAGAAAAAGGGAGCATATTTTGAGCAGGACAAACGATGTAGTGTTTCTGATCTTAAAAGCTACAAGAACAATTCTCTTCCACTTATTTACAGTGGAAGTTACAATCTTCATTTGTCTGTATTTTCCTGTTTTTCTCGTTATCAGCCTGCTTATCCTTTTCACTTTCTTTTTTTCATGAAGCTAATTATGTTTTTATTGTTTTGTTTTTAACCTCTCAATTCCTTCTGTTCTATTTGTCAGATTCACAGGAGTCTGCAATTTTCTTTTACTCATATAGTGTTTTACCAGGTTGTTTCTCTGTATTACGCTCCATCCACCTTGCCAATATTCTCTCATGTGGCCTTCAGACTTGTAGTTATACAGCAGAACACTTTCCAACTTTCTCATTTCAGTTCAGGTTCAGTTTCCATAGATTATTCATTCCAGTCACCCTTCTGAAATGTTATTTACCCATAATTTTTTGCTATTATTTCTTTTCTTTCTTCTTCTAAGGCTATCACATGTTCTCCTGTTTTAAAAAAATTGGTCTGTCTACATTCCCTTTTATAAAGAATTCAGTTTATTACAATTTTCTTTTCTCCCATGCTATTACTGAATCGTGTGTTTCCTTGTCAACTTTCCAAAACCAATTTAGATTACATTTTTAAATTCATTGATTAGCTCAGCGTACATGCATCTTTGTGCATATTTTGTCCTGCTAAGTATTTCCTGGCCTTTTTTGCTCCTTTTTTTTTTTAACTAGGCCCAATATTTGGTTTTTGTTTCTGGAATTCTAATTTTATTGTTATAAAATTAGAATTACATTACTGTAAAAATTACATTACTATTGATATTAGAAAAATTTAATTTCCCTATCAATTTTGGCTTTTAAACAATATTTTAAAAAGTTTTGTTTGTTCGTTTGTTCTGGTGCTCACCCAGAAATTAATTCTCCCTTTCTATTTCTTTTGTAAGTTAAAATTATTAAGACTATATACAGTATATAATAGTTTATTTGGTCAATGACCAGCAAAAGTAACAAAAAATACAGTGCCAAAGTAAAATGAAACAGATGACTTAAATGAGATAAGTCTGTGGGCAAGACATGTCTTATTCAATAGGACATTGTTTTGAATACTTTTAATGATATTTTATTATTGCTGAGAAGATTGGGCCAGGTTCTTTAGAATGCCATCCCACTTTGCTGGCCAGAGATCACATCTACTTCGTCACTGATTTTTAGGTTAGCCATGAATAAAACAGGTAAATCTGGGATGCTACCAAGCAAGGGTTTTATTTTGCAGTGGCTATACTGCAAATGTGAAATTTTTAAGTAGGTCCAAGGATTCTTGCCCTTCTCTTGTGGTATTTATTTTTCGCCACCATTCTATCTTTTGTTTAATCAAAGAAAATTTGGGGGAAGAGACACACAATATATAAGGCCACATTTGGAATACTGCATCCAGTTTGGTCACCAGGATGTAAAAAAGATGTTGAGACTCTAGAAAGAATACAAAGAGCAACTAAGATGATTAGGGGACTGGAGGCTAAAATATATATAAAAAACAGTTGCTGGAATTGGGTATGTCTAGTTTAATGAAGAGAAGGACGAGGGGGGACATGATAGCAGTATTCCAATATCTCAGGGGCTGCCACAAAGAAGAGGGAGTCAAGCTGTTCTCCAAAGCTTCTGAAGGCAGGACAAGAAGCTACGGATGGAAACTAACCAAAGAGAGAAGCAACCTACAACTAAGAAGAAATTTACTGACAGTTAGAACAATTTATCAGTGGAACAACCTGCCTGTGAATGCTCCAACACTGGAAGTTTTTTTTTTTAATTGAAAATTTTTAGATTTTACAAAACAATACAATTCCCTTCCCCGAACCCCCTCAAGCCTCCCCTACCCTCCCCCGACCTTCCCAGAGCTGAATACAGGCTTAATTAAATTTTTTCAAAAAGTCTTAAAACAGATATAAACCATAAACAAGTCTAAATACATTAATTAAACAAATTGTAAAATAGTTAACAATAATATATGTATAAAAAGACAAAAATACAAGGAAATACAAGAAAATAGGAAGAAAGAAAGAGAAAGGAAATAAAAAGAAAAAAAAAGTCTATAAAGTCTATAAAATATCTTAAGTTTTAGATATAAGTTATTGAAAAGCTAAATAATATTTTTATATCCAACTTATATTGTATAAAGTCTATCCATTTTTTCCATACCAAAAAATACTTCTCTTGCGATTGGTCTTTCAAGAAAGCCGAAATCTTTGCCATTTCCGCCAAATAAGAAACTTTAAAAAACCACTCTTGCAAGGTAGGCAAAGATTCCTTCTTCCAACATTGCCCTACTAACAACC